TAGATTGACCAGTAAATCGAGAGCTTCGCCTTACAGCTCAGCTCCTTCTTCACCACGACGGACCGGTACATCGACCGCATTACTGCAGAAGCTGCACCGATCCGCCTGTCAATCTCCCGTTCCATCCTTCCCTCACTCGTGAACAAGACCCTAAGATACTTGAACTCCTCCACTTGAGGCAGGAACTCTCCACCAAACTGAAGGGAACAAGCCACCCTTTTCTGACCCTTTTTCTTAGCCTCGGATTTGGAGGTGCTGATTCTTATCCCAGCCGCTTCACACTCAGCCCCAGTGCACGCTGGAGGTCCTGGTTTGATGGAGCCAACAGGACAATTGTTGTAGGGCCCCTTGCCTTCGACTTCTGCCCGATCCACTGTGCACCAGCCCCTTACGGATCCTACTGCAGGTGGTGAGCACACGGGAGGATGTGCCCACATCACTCGTACGGGCTAAGCCCGGCTGGGCCCCGTGAGGGGAGGCCTGGCCACCAGGCACTCACATTCGAGCCCCAACTCCAGGCCTGGCTCCAGGGAGGGGCCCCGGCTGTGCCATGCCGGGCGACGTCACGGTCCTTGATTTAATTCTATTCATAAAGGGCTTTTTGAACTGCTCTTAGTCTGACCCGTCACCTAGGACCTGTTTTGACCCGTCACCCAGGACCTGTTTGCCTTGGGAGACCCTACCAGGGACATATAGCCCCTGACAACATAGCTCCTAGGATCACTCGGGTACCCTTCCACCACAATAAGGTTGCGGTTCAAGGAGGGGGGTTTGCAAAAATAAATGAGTAAATAAATAGAGCAAAACATATCCCACAAGATAGACAACAAGCCACAGTGTACATGGCTTTGGTAGATTGCATTTAAAAATGTACATGCCAGACTGTTTGACATACTGTAGTCTATAGACAAGCTACACCGAATCAAGACTACATCCTTCCTTAATTCTGGAAAAGAGCAAAAACATAAAGGACTACTTTCATCACATATTGCATATTTCACTAATATGTTACTTTTCATCCTGATATATAAAAAAAAAACCTATTGAGTAATTGATTAAATTGATGTATTGTTGTTCTTCCTCACGGTAATCGCTATTTTCTGGCCACCGCAGGCACGTATGAACACGCTGTTACTGCAAACTGCCCCTAGGCTCTGTTTGTCCAAATGGGTTGGAAACTATGCACACATACACACAAATATATACAGCACACAAAAACTAGATACACTATTCGTAAGCACATGCACACACACACTGAATTTGTGCCTTGTCTGCCAAATACTTGCAACAGACAGGAAAGCACATTCACATATTGCAAATGAAAAAATTGCTCTGTCAAAACCTTCCCACTAATTCCTGTTTTTCACACAAATACATCACAGAAAAGAGCTCCGGGGTAATACTGCTGCACAGGTTTTGTCTTCTTGCTCTTACTCAACATGTAGACCCTGACTGCACTATGAAATCTCTCCTTGCATGTCAAACAGTGCTTTAAGGTTTTTTTTTTTTGTGTGTGTGAGTGCAGGTGACTGATTGTGACTGGGCTTGCCTGTGTGAGTGTGTGTGAGTGTGTAACAGGGTGTCTGTATTGTTCACAAAGTGCATAATGGCTCCATGCTTCAGAATGGCAGCGATGTAACATTAGAACAGATTCAGTGAGCCGTCATAGGCACTACACTAAATATTTATTCCTAGCACACTGACTGTTAATTTGGAAAAGATAGAGCAGCACATTTCTGTCATGAATCTTCCACATATGCACTGTAACATGCACACAGTAATGTTCACATATGTTAGCTTTTTGTACCACAAGATAAAAAGTGTTAAACTGTGCATTTCAGTCTGTACTGAAGATAACTAAAGGCAGTTAATGCAGCATAGCGATTGTGGCACCTGGGTGGCACAAGGGAAAAGGTAAACAGCTGGTGGTTATACTGTTATTTATGCAGTTGGTACATTTTGGTCCTTTGTGAGAAATCACTGTACTTGTAAAATATTAGAGGCACAGCAATTGACTTGCAAGAAAAGACCTGTAATTGCATGAAGGTACTAGCCCAGTGACATCTTTTGTGCTCTGAAAAATGAAATTGTTCTAGTTTTTCTGGAGTCAGAATGACATGAGGTCAGAGAAAATGAATTGAAGGAAATAAAAGTCAGCCTGACAATGAGGAGAGGCGGTTTTGCTGTTGCCTTATTTGTATTTTCTATGGTCAATAAAAATAAAACACAACAGCAAGCTGCCTCATGTCCCAACAGAATACACAATCTCTCAACTAACTCGAGAGCTGTAGTAGGGTAATGATGACACTCAGAATAGGACATGAGTAGCCTCTTAACCCCCTCTTTTTTTTTTTCTCCAAACGAGTCTCTCAATCTCGCAGCAGGAGCCCACTTTGCAATTAGTGGCTGACTTTCAGATCCCCTACCGTCTCTACACATGCCACACCAAAAAATGTGAGAGGACAATGGGAATTCTAACGGATAAATAAAAAAGGAAAAGCATAGAAAGAGAGAATTCCTCTTTATGAAAATAATGTCCTCTCACACAAGAGCACTGGGAGACGGTTCCTGGGCGAAAGGCTTTGTCTGCTCATTAGGTAAGAAGGATACCAGCAGGGGTCCTGCAAGCTGTCTCTCCTACTCATTCTCTCTCTCTCCCTCTCTTTCTTCTTCAAACATAACGACACAAACCGATGTACAATATGAACACAAATACAATGCTACCCAGCTATTGTACAAAATAGCACAAATGGCTTTAAATGTTAAATTGGCACATATTTGTATAACAAAGCAAGTGCATTTATAAAGGAGGCAGAAACTCACAATTTAACATAACAAGGCATTTCCACCAATTCCATCTCCATTTCATATATCAGCTTCAATACTACTGTCACAACAGTATTCACTACTTAGCATCTTCCGAAATTCTGCCATGCAACCAAGCTCCTCCTGGTGCAGCCATGATCAATCTGTCAGGCTTAATCCTGTCTAATCGTGTGTGCTTGGGTTCCTGAGCTGTGGTTGTGCCATTGCTACAGCTTGGTGGTAAAATCTAATGTGTAATATGCAATAATCCTTCATCACCAAAGCAGTGAGAGAGTGGATTGAGGTGAAAATCTTTATCAATGATACCTAATCTCCTCTGCAGGTGAGTCACTATTCACAGTGTGCCCCTGGTTCTACTGAGAGGAAGATGATGGGAACTATATACAAGAGTGTGTACAGTATTTAAATGAAGCAATAAATGAATTTAATTTACTGTTTTAAACACAGCATTTTTACTTGTTTTGAATCATTTCCATTCAGCCAGCACAGCACTTTTATTATTTATTGTTTTTTTAAGCAAATATGCCAAAACCTCTCTGGTTCTGTCTTCTCAGATGTGCATGTATACTGGTTTTCCTAGTCTTCTGTTATATTAGATTTATTATGTTTGGACTGTTACTGCTGTCACCCTGGGTTCTGGGAAAAAATGAATAATTTCTGCTACTTTCTCTCATTTTATACCATATGATTAACTGGGGACAAAATTGACAGATTAGTCAATGATGAATATAACTTCTGGTTGCAGCCCTTCTTCAGTGTAAGCAGAACAGCCCAATTCTTCAAATTACTAGTAGGCTATTTATTGTTGTGCATGCATATATGGCTGTGTGTTTATGCACACACTGTGGTGACAGGGCCTTACCTTGGCTGGAGTCTCCCGGGCATTTTCTGAGTCTGACCAGCGATGTTTGAGCTGGGAGGAGCTGGGCACACACTCACAGAACGTCTGCGTAAGAACAAACAGACAAGGCCACCAGTGTTGGTGTTTGTTCAAATCACATGTGCAATCAAGCATGCGAGCACATGCGCACAAACACACATGTGAGCACAAACACACACAGACACATTTTGGAGCATTGTTGAGATAAACTGTGCTGGCACTGATAAACTACAACCACCTACATGTACATACATAACTGCACAATGACAGATCTGAACAGGCATCTGTACATTTAAAAAGTATGACTGAATTCAATAGTTTATGATAAGCTCAATTCTTCCCAGAGATGGCTTTGCAGATCCTCGGTACACAGAATTTCCTTTGACGCAAAGAGGAAAAAAATTTAAGTACAGAAAGCAAGCACTGACGTCTTTCAGTGTATGTGCATTTTGTGCTTTTATGGGCATTTGTCTGGGAATAGTTTTAGCTGCTGCACAGAAAACAGCAGAGAATTTTTGAAAATGGGGGCTGCGTAAATGCTCTAGGAAAGCATGCCATTCTGTGACCTTAAACACCATTGCTCCCACGGTGGAATTGCTCAATTAGCCTAAGACAATAACACCAACACAAAAGCATGAAAACGTGGGCAAATACACACACACACACACACACACACACACACACACACACAAACTGCCTACTTAAGAATGGATGCAGCCAACAGTAGCAATTAATGTACCAGAATGTGTTTTGTCCCAGCATGGTTTCAAAAGCCTGTGTTTGTGACTAGCTGAGGTAAATATGCTCTTTATACTTGTTATCTGACACACATGTTTTAATAGCATCACCAGTAGTGTAACAAAATTATATTAAAGTTGCATTAATCAATTTTTTGCCATTAATGGGAGAAACAACAAGAATACTTCAGCAGAGGCTACTATTGGTTTGGCTAATATGTTAGCAAACAATTTCCTACTTTCCAATTCAGCAGACTGGACATAATGTTCAAAATTCCAAAGTTCAATATTCCCCCTATTTTTACCTCTGCTATGGAGCCCAACCGCTACTGAGAAGAACACCTAGCTCTGTACAAGTCAGTTGCTCAGCTTAGCCATAGTTGCCTGAATGCAGTACTAGTAGGCAGATTAATAGGCTATACAATGAGTTTATCAGAGCTGTCACTGCCTTTGGGGGGCTAATGAGACTCACCCACGGGTTTCAACAAAAAATAAGAAGTCTTAAAAGCTACAGTATGTAACCTGCAGAGTTGAGTGCTAATTCACTTGATTTCAGCAAGTCTGAACAACTCCTTTAACATTTCAGTCATTTGTTAAAATCACAAATATTCCAGTTGTAATTGTTTGGAAGGGCACACGTGTTTAGATGTACATACTTGTGTAGCAGTGGTTGTCTTTGTGGATGTTGTGTCAGTTGTCTGTGAGTGTGAAATGCTGTGTATGCAGCTCACACGCTCATTGGTATGACACCTGACTAATAGCTTACCCTTTAGCTCTAAGTATTCTCTTCTACAGTGTAAGACAGCAAGAGAGGAAAAAATGTGGTGGTGGTGGGAAAGAGCGTTGGGGGGGTAGGAGAGGTGTGCTGAATTGTAATGAGCAGCCTTGGGGTCAGTAATAGAAATCTCTGTCTGTTCTGCCTAAAACATTGCAGCTGTCTGCTCTTTCTGGCCACAGAGGAGCTACAGAACTGCCATTACTAAACAGACTCCACAGTGATGCAGCTAAATAAACTAACAAGTCAGCTGCCCGGTGAAGTAAATTGGAATAAATGTGCGCGTGTTAAAAGCCCACTAATAAAAATAGGTGCTTGCATTTTATGCTGTTGCAGATGGTATGCCTGCTTCTTTACAGGAGAGCAAGGGGATATAAAACCACATACTCACAAACATCAGCACGTGCACACAGAACAAAGGTTATACATTGCAGCCACAACACACTCAGATCACTGACACACTGCCTTCCCATTACACTGAGCATCACGTATCAGGGTTTAACTTTGTTCATCCCCCTGCCTGCTAATGCTCACATCGGCGTTCTATGCTGTCTGTGCACACAAGCATGCACACACACACTCACAGTGTCACAACAATATCTGTGGGGCTTCTTGTTGGCAGTGGTCCCAGCGTGGGCATCACTGCTTGGCAGTGTTTGTTTAGTCCTAATCTGACTCCACAAGCTCCACCAGCAGAGAGGATTTACACTTAATAGAATATTTGGGCTTTTTATTGGTTGGATCTTACACATAGAATCCTGATCTGACAAGTCACGTCTTAGAAGACAGGAGGGCTCAGACTTATCTTGGGGGGCAACCAAACTTGTACGTGTGCTCTTTTTGAATGAGTGTATATGTTTACATGTGTGAACAGACTGATTAAATATATGGATTATTTGAATGTGTTGCTCCCAGAATATATTTGCTCACTTTGCTGTGACTCATTTTTGCAAGGTGTGTTTACACATACTGCTCACTAATCTGATGGAACAGAAGAAACTTAGCCTCTGTATATTCACTTATGGGCTTACTAATCATTTAACAGGACTTTCAGACTCATAAATGAGGGGAGTTAGACTGACAATGATGAAAAAAAGAGGATGATGCAAAATGACAAAAGCCCCATAATATTGTATCGTACTGTTGGTGTGACAGCCATCACACAGTTAAGTGTTTCATACAGTATAGTGTTAAGTGTTTGCAGATACTATGTGTTTTAACATGAAAAAAAAAATCAACAGAGCAAGGTAATAAATGAATAGAATGACTGTGACATTCCTCCAGAGTAAATGCTGAAGACTGTGTTAGAAACAAGGAAATCAGTCAGATAAACAAAGAGACATCTTTAAACCAACAGTATGCGTTGGCTGATGATTTGTCACATACTGGAGAATTGGCTTGTAGATCCATGAGGCACTTGTTTCTACTCTGAAATGCATTCAAATACAATTTAATGATTCTACATTATAATGATCAGGTGAAAAGGTCACACTTTGCTAATGGTCACCATTCCTATTTCTGTCTGTCATGATGACAGCATTCCCCTAAACAAAAAAGTAAAAACATTACATACTGTAGGAATGTAATTTGCAGACTGATGAAATAAGACTCAATAGGACGACACAGTTTAGATAAAATCACATTATAAACATTCACCACCTCGTTCATAAAATAAAATGGAGCTCAAGTAACAGTGGAAAACAGGAAGGCGTTCTACTGATCAACATGTAAGATGTGTTGGCTTTGCCATCATATGTTATTTTGTTCTGTAGACCAAAGAGATTTGGGTCTGGATTTTGAGGACAGTGCCATTGTGGATGTGATGGACAGTACAACAGCTTTTACAGATTTCAAACGGACTATTTCCTGTCCAACTGATGGCTGATTACACTGCTGGACACTTTTTTGTACTTGGCCACTGGCACACAAATAAAGGTTATAGAGGATACCAGGAGGGACATTGCTGTGATTTGGTAACAATACTAGGTACACAAGACAATATGAGGCATCCTACAGTATAATGGCAGATCCATCACTGGTCAGTTTTTAATGCCTTCTGTCCAAATTCTATTTATACTTATTGTTCAGTTTCTTTTTGGCTAAACGAAGTGATGAACTAGGGAAAAGCTGCCCATGAGTGTTTTTACGAGGTGGTCCTGTCAGTTTCTACATTCAGAGGATTTCTTCTCCTTTGCTGATTGATTGCATCTGCTCAGAGATTAGTTATTTCAAATGTATAAACAAAATATCTTACAGCATACCTTATCAAAAAGGCTCTATTGCCAATAGAAAAAGAATTCTAAGCTGGCCACAATTAGAACAGGCAGTCGGTAAAGAGACTCACGCTGAAATGAAATGCATCAGACAGTTTATGGCAACTTCTCCTGGGATGTGTTTTTTCACTTTACTCTACATCTTCTATGTGGAAATGTGTGCTCAAATAAGCACGGTAACCTGTATTAATTCACAAAACAGTGAACTTTATCAGCTAAAATGTGTACATGTAAACACACTGAGTGAAAGAGGGAGGAGAGGCCTGCAGAAGACCAGGGAGATGAGTTCAATCGTAGGAGACAAATCACCCACTCTACCCTCCACTGCTTGTCCTTGAAGTTTGCATGGCCACACAGAGGGAGTGAGCCTGTCACCCACTGTCCCTGAGATGCACACACATATATACACACACACACACACACACACACACACACACACTCAAATGCAAAGGGAATCACCGTAGCCACTATTATAAAGCATACAATCACTGTGAGGTAAAAATGGCTCCTTTGTGAGTGTGAAATGAAAAGGCAAGATTGAAAGAGAGCTTTCAATTTTGTAGGGGCGTTACCACTTTTATCGTTACCTCTGTTGTTACCTACCGTAAACATGACCAGGCTACAAACATGCAGACATTTAAGCTCAGTCACTGCACCATTTACATATACTCATGTTATATACATTTTAAAATCTTTGAATTGCTTTTCCCCAGCTACTGGTCCTGCCCATCTCCATCTGAACATGTCGTACTCCAATGGCTTTCCCCCATTTTTCTTATTCCTCTGCAGTTTTCCCTTGCCTTCTTACAAAGTGTGTTCAGTCGGGAACGTTCACTGCGGTGGGCTTGCACACACCCCACTGAGAAATCGAATGTGATATTGGCCTATACAAATAAACGTGACTTGTTTTGACTTTAAATTAAACATTCATGTGCAAGATGCAGGCCAAATAACAATGATTTGAGTATGACTGCATACAATGTCAAAAACACAAGACTCAAACACATCAGCGCACACACACACACAGAGTACACACACACACACAGAGTACACACACACACACAGAGTACACACCCAGCCCCAGCAGGGGTGTACTGTATTCTAATTGGGGGGTTATATGTGCAAAAGCAGCACTTCTGTGAGAACAAAATACATTTGTTTTGTACCGTGATAGTCCTTAAGAACAGAATGGCTACCTCGCTGATCAGCTTCAA